GAATGAGAAAGAAGGAAGCAGATGTAATCTCTAAAAAAAAGGTCAAGTGTTTCTTCCTACCGTACTTTTAAGCTTTTAATTGGAAAGAAGCATGCCTGCTTTTTTTTTTTTTTCTTCACAAAATCTGTGGAAAAACTAGTCATTCCTTTCCTTGATAATACAGTTTGAATTTGCTTTTCCTAGAATAGAAAGTAGATTGAAAGGAATTATCAAATTACTTGAAGTCTTTCTTATCTTTTTTGTCTAAAGTTTTCTGTCCTTTGCAAGCACACTCTTAGGCAAGATTTGTCGGTAACTTCTGATGGAGTTGGTTCCTCCCCACAATTTCCCTTGGCTGCTGTCTTGTCTTTGTGAGCCTTTCCATCTGTCTTCAGCAGTTCCTTCTCCTCCTTCATCCACCCATGTCACACTTTGATGTAAACATCTCTGCCCCAGATGACACTGTATTGCTAAGCTGACAGCATGTGACTAATATTATGTTTGTTCATAAATATGCCTCATCAGCAATTACATTCTTCTGTGAGATACTTATCTGTGAGTTGGAGTGGCATAAATCTAGAGTACACAGCAATAACATGAGTTTTAAGGCCTATCAACTGTAGAACTTGTATTCTTTCCTTATAAAAGATGTAGTAAGGTATCCTCATCTTTACTTTTTCATCCTGTTCCTATAACCAATGCACTATAAACTAGCATAAAAATTATTTTATCAATGTTTCTTATTTTGCAAAGGCGGGAGAACTCTTGACCTTCCCCTGTTTATTGTATGGCCTCATCTTAAAATTAAGGTGCAGATGGAGAGAAGGGAGTGCTTGTTTATTGGATTGATTTCCTACTTACTATGTGACATAGCTTTAGACCCCAGTATTTCTGACAAGGACCTATGCTGATGTTAACCAGGCTCCTTAAAAACTGAACGGGCACTTAAGTCTGAACTATTTTAACATCAGTAGAGCACATAGATAGCAATTCTAGCCTATCATTGAGCATGGATGTTTTTTTGATGAAGGCAAAGATGGAGAGCTGACCACAACTACTTGCCATGCAGACACTGTGCCAAGGACAAGGTAAGGCAGATGATTTCAGGAACTTGCAGCACAGTGACATATTTAAGATAAATGTTCCACAAGTTACTAAAATAAACTACTATGTCTATACAGCACTGCATTTTATGTGACAGCGTGCTGTATAGCTTAATGTAGATTGGACTATGATAAGGCTGTTAGTAACCAGTTCACTTCCAAGCAGTGAGTTGAGCAAAATGGAAAGTTCACCTAATTTTCTGATTAAGTGTTTGAAGGTTACATAAAAGAAATTTGTTCCAGCTTTGAAATGACCTTGGCAGTTATTAGTTGTCAGACTGCTTTTTTGAGGGTTACAAGCCCAGCTGCTTCATAAAGAAGTAGCCTTTCTGGATATGTGACATGTTTGAAAACCAGATTTCATCTTTTTCCAAAATTTTCCATTGCTAACAGTTAAATAGACTGCTGTGGGGCTTGGGTTCAATTTCTCCTGGCATTACCCACATAACGCTATGCCAGAATAATTCACGTGTCAGAGGACCTTAGAAGGAATCTTACTGTTCTACTTATTGACACAAAAAATATCAGGGTACTGCTGAAATCAGTGGAGTAACCAAGCTGGGTTTTGAGAATGTTAATCTTTTTAACAACTTTGGCCATTGCCACATAGGCTCACCTGTGGATTTTGGAATTGTAAACCTTTTAGCTATTCCATGAGGATGCCAGGCTGTAGAAAAATAAAATATTTGCTTTCTTTATTCCTTACTCTTCAGTATATTTGTTTTTCCCTAATTCCTTGCTACTTCACAAAGGAAACTAAATCTAATGGTGGGTGATGATTTAGCGTCTTACCAGCTTCTATTGTGCAAGTATAATCTGGCTCATGGTAGAAGAGTTTTTCTGAAGAGTACATTTATTTTAAGCTGTGGGTACAAGAAAATAACTTGGCTGATAATGGCTTATGATGTGTAAAAACTTGCCACATTTTACTCTTACCACACTTTCCTGAAGAGAGGCAGTATGTGGCTGTTGAGGTTTTACTGAATTCCCTGTTCAGCGTTTCCAGTTCTGTATTTAATCTTTTGAACTGCAAACTGTGTTCAGAGGAAGAAGCAATAGTAATTTGCCAAGGTTTATAAAGTTGCTCATTGATTAAAGTTGCATCCATATGCATAGGGATTTATGTGGGCAGTAGTACCCCACAGCAATATTAACCATTGCAACTGCTGTAGAATTGCATAGAAATTGGACCTATAAGATCATGTTCTGATAAGTTAGACTCCTAAGAATGTGGACACTTAATCATTTAGAATATTCCTTGCCAAAATCTAGATTGAGTTTATTCTTATCTTGCAGCTGCAGAAGTTTTTCAGAGCTGTAAGTACTTCGGAAGTCTGCAGCCACTTGGAAACAGAACAATTAATGTCTTCATTGCATTCATGAGCAAGGTATTTTACCTACTAATACCTCACCAGCATTTTATACGCTTAATGCAAATTCTTTTCATCTACTGTAGTTTCAGCTCATGAGGCTAGACGTTTTTAAAAATGATTAACCTGCATTCAAACATCTGCTGCATATCAGGTAGAGGGAAGAATTTTGAATAGAGATCTTTTATAACAGTTTTTGAGATCTAATCACTAGGGGAGGGCGGGGAGGGGATTAAAAAAGGAGACTGGTATCTCCTCAATCTGTTAAAAACACTGGTGGCCACATCTCATTTTTGGTTTTCATAAAAACCAGAACAAAATTGTTACGTTCATTGGAATTCTATTAAAATTTTGTGCCTTTGTATGAAACTACAATTCTGGAGTTACCTGTTGAATTGTTTTTCCTTGTTAAAAAATGAAACTTGAACTTTTTCTTTTATAATACAAATTCATATTTATCAGCATAAAAAATTTCTCTCAGCATTTGCATAACAAGTGTGTAAGCAAAACTAAGAAGGCTTAATTGTGCCCTGCTTATCCAATCTCTGCTTCAGCACAGTGTCATTGAACAAGAATGACACTATATAAAGGGGCCTTGTGAGAAGTGCTCATTTTCACTTTGAAGCAGAAAGGTAAGTTTGACTTCTCTTAAATCACAAGGAACTAACTTCAGCTAGTAGGGAAACCTGTTCCATTCCATTTCTTTGGTCACATTTACATTTAAAAGTTAATGTTTTTGCTTTAATAGTGATGGGGGGGGAGGGGAGGCTGTTTTTTTTTTTTTTAACTTATATTGGTAATTTTACTGAATGCGGAGATGCCTGAAGGATACCAGACTCCGGTGACTGATGAAGGTCATTAAAAGTAGATTAAAACTGAAGAGCTGTCTTTCCATTTTGTTATATAACTGATCCGAGCTCTGGCTGTGCATCATGATCCAATTATGAGCTGGGTCCAATCGTTCATTTAAAAGCAGTTCCCTGAATGATCAGCACCAGAGGAAAAGTACCTGTTGTAATTGCATTCTCTTATCTTGGTGACATAAGTATGGCCAGCTAAAGTAATTTCTATTACAGCCTTTTATACTCCATTCTCCACAGTCATTGACCAGCATTGTCAGAAGGATCTATTAGCCTTCAACACAGGAAATGGTAAACAATTTGAAACAATTCAGATTCAGTGCTTGAAATGTGACAGTGCTTTAATACGGCATGCAGGTTCTCAGGTTGATTAGAAATGTACTTGTTAAAGAAGATAATCCTGGCCATGAGGAACTGGCACTATGACCTAAGCTATGCATCTGTGCTAAAACTTAAGACATAAATGAATGTTCTTATATTCAAAGGAATGCTTCACCAAACTGAGTTTGATGAGACATTTCTCTAGACCAAACAAGTTTCACTCTTAAAAATATTCAGTATTGATGTATACGTACAATAACATAAAAAGCTTTTTACAATAAAGTCAGCCTATCAGATGAAACTGTATTTCATATTTTTAAAACTCAATCCAGTTGTGCATACCCATTCAATAAATGGCACTAATAATAAACTGAGATTCTAATTCTGCTCTCCATATATGCTTTGAAACAAATTCCGTGTACTAACTGATGAACACCCATTTGTTAGCTAAAAGAATAGTACATAGTCATCTCATTGTAAAGTGTGAAGTCAAGGTTTATATGAGAGTCAGCCCAGCCGGGTCATGTCTTTAAAACTGGATACTCGTTCTGGCATCTTGAACCTGTCTTTCTCTCTCATTTTTAGCTGAGTAATGTCAATAACCGAATATCTCCATGACATAACATCTTATTTTTCATCAGTTCAAGTTTTATAACCACACAGCATTGGCCAATGCTACAATGATCCGTGGTTTGACAGCACTTTCTACTCATGGTATCTCAAAAATTACAAAAATTATGACCTTCCTTAATGTTATGCCAGAAAGGATAAAATGAGTGGGCCTATTGGCAACCAGAAAACATGCTTTTTTTGGAACACTAACTCAGACATCTTCAAGCTTGTAGAATTTTGTTCAAAAACAGAATTGTAATATCAATTGAGCCATGTGTAAAATGCTCTTCCACTCAACCTATTTCACATAAGTGTGCCTAAGTCATATCGTGCTTAAAGAGATTGCCAAGTAGCTCCAAACCTTTGCAATGACTGCTGTAACAGATTGTGCCTTTCATGTTGGTGTCATATATGTCTATGTTTTGTTGAGTGATTACAGGTCTTATAAACAAGTAATGGGTTAAACTTGGTCAGTTCTACACGAGCTCATTTCTCAAGGATTAATACAACAAATAATCAGTAATAGCAAAAATGATATATATATATCCCTATACTCCCTGATGTCTAACAATCTTTCTGTAGTACGTATGTCAGTTGATATCAGTCTAGAAACATTTATGTGGATAGGCTACGGTAGCAAAAAAAATCATATACCTTAAACTTTACTTTATTTGAAGTATAGAATATATTTCAAGAAGGGAACAAAAAAAAGCTATTCTATCAGCCCCTGCCTACATGTTGTACAGAATCACTGCTTAACAGATACATGCATTTTCTTACAGCTTCCCTGAGCAACCATGTTGTCTTACTCATTCTGCATGATTGCAGCAGCAGTTGCTTTACTAATGCCTTGCCAGGCACAAAACTGTGCAGGAGCTCCTGAGCTACCCAGTATCCCTGGAGTTAGTGGACTGCCTGGTCTGGGAGGTAACAATAGTAATGCTCTTCATGTATATGTATTAATCATTACTCTTCAGTAAGAAAATAATTATTTGTTTTCTTTTCATTCAGACAAAATAAGACAATAGAAGATGAATTTCAGTGTTTAGTGATTTCAAATGCTAGTAAATCCTGAATGTGATTTTCTGCTCTGATCTTTTGTCCATAGTTCCAGCACACAGCAAACTTTCCATTTTTGGAAAAATTCCTTGTTTTGAAGGCTAAATGACTGGCATGGAAGGGCATATGTTCTCATGCAAGTGGTGCTGTTAGGTGGAGGGAAAAACTGAACAGAGGAAATACTGGCTTGATATTTTTCCTAAAAGATAGACCTCCTCTCTTTTCTGTGAAAAGCATAGTTTAATCATAGAAAAGTAATACATATATACATATAGTGCTTTTCTGTTGCCTTTCCAAAAGGAATTGCTTCTTCTACAGCAAAAGATTTTTTGTTTGAATAAAATACTATTCTAGTAGGTATTTACAAATGTAACAAAAATGTGCCTAGTAGTTTTTCTGCAGCATTCAAAAATGATACACAGAGAAGTATCTTTCTGAGGAATATAATTTCCATTGTGTAATTGTATTTCAGGTCCATTACTAGTCTGAAAGCAATAAAAAAAAGTTATTCATAATCTCAAACTGCAATTTGTTAGATACAAGTCCTGTTGTTTGCTGAACATCACCAGACGTTTACCCCTTAGAAATGAAATTATGCTCCTCTTACCCAGGTCTCAGTAGATATTTAGGAGGTCTACTGCAGCCTTACAGAAAAGAGAAACTTACTGAACGTCAGTGGTTACAAAGACAGCAAGGTAAGAATGGAGTGAAAGGAGTTTGCAGGTTTGCAGCACTAGGTGAAAGAGGCTGATCTCTATATAACATTTTGTCAGAAAAGTGACTGCTTTTTTGAGTCAAATGTGTTATTTTTCACTAATGGTAACACGATCACAAAAGCAACTCAGTAATTTTTTAGTATGTTTAGGATCATTGTTACTGGTGGAAATATGCGTGAAATAAACATCTACCTTTACAGTCAGTCCCCATCTTAAGCATCCAGTGCTCTCCTGTATCAGTGTTTAGGTTCCCTTAAAATAAGGAATAAAGACATAAAGCATCCATTCAGCAACATAAAAATAAAATTATAATCTAAGTTTTGCTTGACACCAGAGGAAATAGAACCTCTCAAAAATAGCCATTGTGCCAGTTCAGTAAAAATTATGAGAATGAAACTTCTTTGCAAAGCCATGGTAAAATATTTTATCTTAGGACCTTTACACTCTTATAGACATGACATAAACTCCAAGCTATAAAAAATATTTTTTCTTTTATAGTCTTTAATAGGCTTTTTCTGTGTATAAGTAAATTTCTGAGCTTTTCCGAGGGCTGTGGGGTTTTCTTTGTTTATTTTGGTACAGATTAGTCAGAAAGTGACAAAATATTAAAAAAAAAAAAAATTGTTTTACCCTGGTTTGTAGTTAAAATACATTATACACTGGTTAGTTTTGAAAAAAAAGTTAGTTTTATCCAGTGAGATACACTGATACATGAGATTTTGGCTGTGGGATGACCTCACTGCAGCCTTTCAGTACCTAAAAGGAGCCTACAAACAGGAGGGGAGTCAACTCTATGAAAGGGTAGATAACAGCAGGACAAGGGGAAATGGTTTGAAGTTGAGGGAGGGAAGATTTAGGTTGGTTGTCAGGGGGAAGTTCTTTACTATGAGAGTGGTGAGGTGCTGGAACAGCTGCCCAGAGAAGCTGTGGATGCCCCGTCCGTCCCTGGAGGTGTTCAAGGCCAGGTTGGATGGGGCCCTGGGCAGCCTGATCTGGTATTAAATGGGGAGGTTGGTGGCCCTGCATGTGGCAGGGGGTTGGAGCTTCACGATCCTTGAGATCCATTTAAATGTGGGCCATTCTGTGATTTTTATAACCAGAACCTACCTTTTCCTGATTGTGTAACTTCTATTTTCACCTGTTTAGATCTATCTATTTCTTTTGATGATGAACTCCGCAATGTTTTGCTGAATCTAAGACAACGACTTTTCCAGCTTGAAGGAGGTAGCTTTTTCATTTTTAATTTTTTAGCTCTCAATCATTTCCAGTGCAATGGGCAAAATCAATTACAGAATCAAGACTTGTAGAAAAGAAATCACGCTTGAAAAAACAGAACTACATTCCAAAACTAGAACTTCTTGTGAAACATCACTGATGTGTCCTAGGAATGTTGTAGAGCTTGTACTCATTTCCTGTAGTGCTACTAAGTTTTGGCCTTAGGTCAAGTAGACCCAAACCTTTAAAGGTAAATTAGGTTTCTTACTCCTACTACTGACAGTGTAGAATAAGATGTAGTCTGTCTACACCATCTTAAAAAAAGAAATTGTGCAATTGGTTACCTATTAGGACTATTAAGAATAAATTGGATTTTCTTAGATGCTCTAGTAATGCCCAGTACAATTAGATGTCCAGTAAGCAGCACAAAGCTTGTTTGTAAGACAGCCTGAAGTGTTGCTTTGCACTTGACAATGTTCTGCATTTTTGAATTGTGAAGCAAGATGTACTTAGGCATATGAGAAAAGGAACATTAAAGAAAGGTATTTTCTTAGTGGGAGAGAAAAATGCAGACTTCTCACAGGAGCATTGAATACATTTATTCAAATTTTATTCCTATTTCCTAAAAATCTGAATGGCATTGCAATTTCCACACAGATTCATGGAAACTCTTCACCCTTGTCATCCACTGCTTTCGTTTCTATCTACCAGCAATGAAATCACTGTAGGTCATGGAAAAGTTTTGTGTACTGAGTACTTAATTTTCTCTACGCCTCTTTATTTCTCTGCTTTTTCATCAATATGCTTCAAGAAATAAGAAAGTGAGCAAACTCTTTTTTTTTTCATGTTTCAGTGCTTGCTTTGAATGGGAAAATAACAAAAGTAGGAGAGAAAATATTTGCCAGCAATGGAAAGGAAGTCAATTTTTCATCTGCCCTAGAATCCTGTGAAGAGACTGGAGGAACTCTTGCAACTCCCATGAATGAGGAGGAGAATAAAGCTATTATGGGCATTGTGAAACAGTATAACCGATATGCTTACTTGGGTATTAAAGAGAGTGACACTGCAGGTCAATTTAAGTACATGAATGGCCAACCTCTGAATTATACCAACTGGCAACAGTATGAGCCTAATGGCAAAGGGACAGAAAAATGTGTAGAGATGTACACTGACGGAAAGTGGAAAGACAGAAAATGCAACCTGTACCGCCTCACAATCTGTGAATATTAGAGAATGACCTTTCAAGCACCTGAGAACGAACGTGAGACCATGAAATACCCTGTTTCATTCAGACTGATGCAATTTCTGCAATTATTCTATGTCATAAAATCTAAAATGAATCATATTACTATATATTTTTATGCTTAAGAAAATGCCAAATGTAGAAGGTGATTAACTTACTTAATTAAAATGTGCATAATCTGATGTACTTGTCTCTCTTTTTGGAGAGCTGAAAGCTCAGAATTCATTGGTCACAACAGACTGTCCCTCTCCACTAGGGACAGGGTCTACACGAAAATTAGAGGAAAATTCCAAGGATAGGATTTGGATATTGGAAAAAACCTGAAGATAAAATTACCTTTGATTGAAAACACTGTGAAAACATACTGAAAACATTTTCACGTATTTCATAAATAGTCTTACAGGTCATGAATAGATTTCACTGGACCAAGGATGGTCTTTGGACTTGAGTATCTCCTATAACAATAAGGCTCTCCTAGAAAGACTTAGGTGATGTGTGTCACAGTGAAGCATGCATTAAGCATCCATATTTAACCATCTTTATAAAAATACTAACAGTACTGGTTCAATTAATTTTCTTAGTTAAATCAGAAGCCATTATCTGTAAAACACTGATAAACATTGCCTTTGATTTATAAACATATAAAAAGGTATGTAAGAGACTAAAATTGCATTTTTTTCCTAAAACATCACATTCTCTCATAAAATGATTACCATTGTTGTGTTAAAAGGCCAGTTGTCGTCTCCCACATAACTGATTAAGCATATACTATTTGAGGGGAGCAGGTAGGAGAAGAAGTTCAATCAGTTCAAATACAAACTATATCTCTACTGATGTCATCCCAATAAACCACAAAGACCACGATTCAAATCTCCTAGTATCAAGAAGGATTTTTTCAGAAAGTGTTTTTCCTGCCTCTCAGTTTCAGTAGCAGGCTGGGATGGTAAGAACTCAAAAAAGGCTAGAAGTAGCAAATCCTCATATGCTTACCCTACAGTAGGGAAGTCGTGGGTTCATCCTGGGCTCACTGTAAAACAACCTGGGGGAGAAAAGATAGTACTGGAATTGAATCACATGCATAATACCTTTTACTTTATCTTTTCTTCTTTCCCCACAACTGACTCTGTGAAGGGAGCCTATATGAACCTGGACTTGACTTGGGGCGGCAGCGTTTCCCCTGCCCTATCCTTGCTGTGAAAGGGATGGGGTCTGTCCAATGTGGACATTTGAAGTTCTGTTGAGCAGGAAAGCTTTAGGATGTTCAGACATCAGCACGAGCTTAATCTGGTGGGAAGGGTTTTGTGGCTGGTGTGCTGTGATGGACAGTTAAAGGCTCTTCAAAAAAGATAGGCAGGACACTAAGAGGTGGTGGGCATGGGACAGGCTCCCCAGGGCAGTAGTCATGGTCAGGAGCTGCTGTTCAAGAAATGCCCAGGTAACTCTCTCAGACATAATCTGACTTTTGGGTGGTCCTGTGTGGATCTAGAGTTGGACTCCATGACTGTCTTTATGGGTCACTTCCAACTTGGGACATTCTGTGGTTCTATGATGTGGAAAAGGGGGGATAATTTTCATCAGGATCACACACAGAACTCCAGTGATCTGAGAATGGATGTGAAAATGGGAAAAATACACTCAGCAACATGCTGGATAGATTTCAAAATGTGAACACGCTTTACAAAATAGCATTCTTGGAGACCTGTAATGACAATAAAAATTTTGGCAAAAATTTCAAATGGGAAGGGAACATATCATACCATGAAAGAGATTCTGTCAGGTTACCTTGAGAAAATGTGGAGCGGAAGTAATAGTTTTCACTTTTTCTATGTCTTACCAAAAATTTGAAGGTTTACTTAAATCTACCTCTACCTTTAAAATTTTAATTATCGATATTTTAGTTAGTTAGTGATATTTTACTAAGTAAACCTTGTTTGGAATTTTTGTCTTTCAAGCATACAGCTTCTTTGTTAGGGGGAGATGATCAAACATCATAAAACACCACCATGCTTTGGAGAAGGCTAAAAAAAAAAAATCACTCTACCGACGTGCTGATTTATTATTTGAAACAAATTAGCATGTTTGTTGCATAGATGTCTCGCTAACTTCAGAGTGTTCTATTTGTTAGGCCATTATTTATTCCCATCATACCAATGTATACGTGATGACTATATAAGGTCCTTATTAAAATGCTTAACATGTCAAATCTTACGTAACATACTATCTACCTCTGAGGTAATTTCCAGCCTAGAGCAATATCTTCTTTTATAACTGCGTGATTTAATTGGATGCTTTATCTTAGAAATACTATTACCAATTTTGAGCACTCAAAAATCACTCCTCCCTCTCCGTGCACCAATCCCTCTCACATATAAAGAAACTGACTTCAGTTTACATCAAATAGGTATCTTTCAGTGTATTCCTGATTTTTGTGGGGAAAAAAACAGGTGGTTGGGGCGGGAGGATGAAAACAAGACCCATGGTTCATCAGAAAACTGAGGTTCAGTTCAAACTTGTGTGAACATACTAAGTGACTGGATGTGACCTAGGGTGTCAGGGCTACTTTATACTGTAAAAACTGTGACCAATGCCTCCTTTTAGTTTTTATTTTTAATACTGAAGCCAGACTTCAGGAAGATTAATTACAATATTGCTCTGTTCTTTTCCAGGAAGTGAAAAAACACCATTGCCCTGATGCCAAGAAGTCCTACCAATACTGCAAGTGCAAGGTAAGCTTAAGGTTAATCATACACTTCACGTTTATTTGCAGTTTTTATTTAACAGAACAGTAAGTGGAAGAGGGAGAAGAAATATTTGCCACCTGGGTTATTTGTTTGCTGGTTTTGAAACCATACTGAAATGAGGTGGAAAGACTGATAGTCCTTCTAGAACTCTCATGAGCTAGAGGAAAATGTTATTGAGAGTATTGTGTAATGGTAAAACAGACGTGTTTATCTGGATCTTGACGAGAGTCAGATTGTAAGTAAATGTCATGTTGAAGTCCACTATTTAAAATTTTATTAGCCTACAGTTATACAAACAGACCTAGATTTAAAGAGTGATCAATACAGGATGCTTGGAAATTAGAGTAGCTAAGGGATTGGGATGTTAATGGGATTGGACTTGAGTTGAAGTGCCTGTTAGGAAACCAGAGTTTGGTGGAGTTTGGCTCAAGGGTGGTAGGCCAGGTATGGTGCCAGGTGAAACCTGAATGTAGCTTTCACTCACCCCTTCTCCTGTGGCTCAGGAGATAGGAGGCTATGCTGCAAGAGCACCTAAGCACTTGAGGAAGTTTCAGTGATTGTAATTATAGTCATAAGGACTGCAATGAACAACTGACCTTTCGCTTATAGACAACCAAGGACAAATGAAGAATATACAGAAAAACAGTTTCATCTAATTCATAAACAAGGTTTTTATTTTGATTTTTTTTTCAATTATGAGCACAGATCACAGTGTATGAAGTTAAAATATATTTAAGTTTTAATGCTGCTGATAAAGTCAAAAAAACACTAGGTTGAAGGTTGCCTTCCCAGTTGTCTATATCTTGCTGTATTTTTTGCTTCCTGATTTCAAAGCTCAGCAATAACAGCCTCCATTCTCTCAGAAGTGCTGCTAGACATCAGAATTGAGAGGAGAAACACTAGGTCCTACATGCTCTCTGCTCTTCCCTATGTTCCCTGGTATAGTGGAGCTGTTGAAGACAGTCTGACAAGGATGTTGAATGCTACACAGAGAGAAATACAGAAATACAGAAATCAAGGGACAAGGTGGTAGTGAGGTAGGATGGAAGTAGCAGCAGAACAGCACAAAAGCTGTGTAAACAGAAAATATAACTGGGCTTGGGGTTATTTAAATACAAGCCAGGACAATAAGGAGGAAGAATTTTTAAGGTTACCTGTGGTATGAAAATCACCATGAAGGAAAAATATATAAAACTTTCAGGAAGTTAAGTGTATAGAGGAAAGGCTAACAGGCTGGTGGAAGGAACACACCCACTTTCATAAACTGAAATTCAACTCTAATGTCTATATTCCTCAAAGCAGCTAAGAAAGATGCATTGACAGACTTCTGTCTTCAACGTGTTTGACATTTACCTACTTACACTGTAGCTAAGTACACTGAACCAACTCTTAATCGTCTTGATTTGCTTCACTAGCACTGTAGCTATAATGATAAATGCAGAAATGCTGAATAAAATTTTCCAGTGTTCTAGAACTGTTTGTTCTCTGTTAGGTCTATATTCCTCAGTCTCAAGGAGTTTCTGTTACATGCTGCTCAAAGCAAGATCAGAAAAATTTTACAAGTTATCATAGTTGTACAGAACATTAGTCTAATTGAGCATAAACAGTGTAGTAAAAATGCAAGTATTGTGGAAATACTTTAACTTATTTCTCCTTACCAACTTGCTGATGAAAAGCAAGAGAAGAAAGGTTTGCCATTTATCAGATTCACATCAGTTACCAGGCCAAAGTGTACCAGAAAACTTCTGTCTCCCCCCAAGTTTCCCAGACCATCAGTCAGAATATGAAACTCACCAATATGAGCCTCACCTCCTTTTCACACCTGACTGACCTCTGGTTTCTCTGGTTTCTCTCACATGTGGTTGAAGTTCTCAAGCTTCTCTCATTCATGATCTCACCATGGGTGCAAATGCTAGTGACCTTTGCTTAAGTTCACCTGGTAATTGCCTCAGTTTCTGTTTGTTTCATGAAACAACCAGAAAACCTCAGCCAAAAGAATGTTAAGAGGACTAAGTCAAACACTCAAAATATAGGAACTGTAAAATCTGACGATAAAATTTAAGCAAAGATTAGTCATGCAAATTTAAACTGGCTCTCTTCTACCGGGGCATGTACAACTGGCACAGCCTATTTATTTTTCACAGGACTAGCGCCTTTCTCAGAACACTCAGTAAACACTGCTGTGGGTGAATTAATCTAGTTTCTGTGGGCATGACACCACTGACAGAGGACTCAAACTCAGCTGAGTGAAGTGTGAACATGCAGGGTACAACAGACCTATGGAAGGGATGTAGACTTGCTTTAACACAGCAGCATCTCAGACCAGTATGGACATTTCCCCCTCAACTGCCTTAGATGCTAGACTTCCTGCAATATCCGGATGCTGGCCTAATACACAAAGATATACTTTTTTGAACTTGACCACAGCTTGAAATCTCTTC